GATCCACCCCCCCCCCCGGGCCATGGGTCTGGAAATCAAGATCCGTGATCCTTTTTTTTTTTTTTTGCGATCAACTATAGTTTGATTGTTTCTTCCCTTATCTACCGCGAGGATCTGCTCGAATCCGTGTCAACTGTTGGTGGGCGCATCGCGGCTCGAATGGTGTCTTATTGTGACGCGAATCTTCATCTTGATGGGGTTAGGGTTCTAGAAGATGTGATTTACTTGATTGAGGATGTGGCTAAGGGGTCTGTGGAATTTGATACTATCACCGAGGTCCAAGGATGGCTCCGACTCTTCTTCTTTGTCGTTCCTATTAAGGTAAGGATTTTTCTCTTTTCTTTGATCATGATCTTTAGTTTTTTATTTTGTTTTTCTGTTCTAAAAAATATTGGATGCCTAGAATCCGGTGTACAAGAAAATAAGAATGGAGATGCAAAGTTTAAATCGATCTATTTTTTTTTTATTTTAGCTTGAGAAGCATATTATAAATGAATATTTACATAAATACCACTCAATTCTCTACATATCTAGTACCATAATCAATTGGAAAATAAAAAAAAATGGAAGAGTAGTAAGTCCTTATAATACATGGTTCAGGGAGATATTGATGTAAGTAGCCTTCTTCTTACACTCAGAAAAGAAGGTTATGAAAAATTAGACAAGATTTTTATTAGTGTGTTGAGCTAGTGTTTGGGGGAGTAAGAGATTTTTTGATATATGAACATGTCCAACATGCATTTTAAAGACTTTTGAAGTGCTCTTGCCTCATAAGAGATCAATTTTTAGCTATGACAGTTCTGTTGCAAACAACACTATTGCACAGGGGCAGATGATAATTTATCTAAAAACAACAGCAAATCAGCTATTTTCCAAATGCACAAACCAAATAGCCAGCCAGCTTATCCAGATTAGCCGGCTTATCTGCATCAGCTGCATATCAGCAGATTATTGATAAGCAGCAACTACCCCAAACAAACCCTAAATAAATATGCAAAATTATATGGTACAAAAATATGAGCATACATTCCATCTCAAATAATATGCTAAATGACTATGAATACAGATGAATAGGTTGTTGTCGTTGTCATTATTATTATTATTATTATTATTATTATTATTATTATTATTATTATTATTATCAAAATTTTGGGAGATCACTTCAGATTGATTGAGAAAAAGATGGAATTACAAAATTATAAACAACAACAACAACAATAACAACAAAGCCTTAATCCCACTAAGTGGGGTCAGTTACATGAATCCTTTTTGTCCATGGTGTCATATTTAGTGTCATATTTTCATTTAATTCTAAGAAATTAAAATCATTTTTTATACAATAAGCCCAAGTCTTCCTAGGTCTACCTCTGCCTTTCATAACATAAGTTGAATCTAAAACATCTACTCTCCTAATCGAATCATCAGATGGTCGACGTTTAATATCACCAAACCATCTAAGACGGCTCTCTCTAATTTTTTCCGTCACTGGAGCAACACCAACCCTATCACAGATATATTCATTTCGCATTTTGTCACTAAGTGTAAAGACACTCATCCACGTAATCATTCACATCTCGACAACATTTAACTTAGTATTATTCTTCTCTTTTAAAGGCCAACATTCCGCGCCATAGAGCATTGCAAGTTTTACTACCATCTTATAAAATTTTCCTTTCAGTCTAAGCGATACTTTTTTATCACACAATAGGCCCAAAGCATTCCTCCACTTTAACCAACCAACTTGAATTCTAGTAATAACATTCCCATCTATATCACTATCGCCTTGAACAAAAGACCCAAGATATTTAAATCGTTCCCACCTTTTAATAATTTGATTACCCAAATTTACACTTCCGTCACTAGGGCTAAGACTACTAAAATTACATTCCATGTATTCAGTTTTAGTTCTACTCAAACAAAGGCCTTTAGACTCCAATGTAGTCCAATGTAGAGCAGACTCCAATGTAGAGCTCCATAATTCAAGTTTTTCCTGTGATTTTTCTCTCATCTTATCCACGAGAAGGATATCATCAGCAAAAAAGCATATACCAAGGTAAATCTTCCTGTAAATGTCCAGTAAGACCATCCATAACTAAAGCAAAAAGATAGGGGGTTAAGCCGATCCCTGATGTAATCTAACAGAAATAGAAAAATATTTCGACCACAAGTAACAGCTCTAGTATACATATCTTTAATGACTTGAATATAAGTCATATCAACACCATTCTTCACAAGAACTCTCCGAAGAATATCTCTTGGAAACTTATCGTAAACTTTTCTCTAAATCAATAAAAATCAAATGAAAATCCTCCTTATTAACTCTGAACTTCTCCATCAAACCTCTCAATAAATGTATAGCTTCCATAGTAGACCTGTCTGGCATAAATCCAAATTGATTATGAGAAATCTTTGTAATACGTCTTAGCCTATGTTCAATTACCCTCCCGTAGTTTTAAATTATGACACATCAACTTAATTTCTCTATAATTTGCACACTCTTGTCATCCCCTTTATTCTTAAAAGTGGGGACCAAAATATTCTTCCTCCACTCCTCAGACATCTTTTTAGTTTTTAAAATAATATTAAAGAGTTTAGTAAGCCAAGAAACTCCCAAATCTCCTAAATATTTCCACACTGCAATTGGGATATCATTAGGTCCTACAGGCTTTCTACCTCTGGTTTTCTTTAAAACCTCCTCAACTTCTTTTTTCTAATGTGACGGTAAAAATGAAACCTTTTATTATTATTAATCATATTAAGATCACTAAGTTCGATCGTATTTTAGAAATTTCAATAAAAAATTTATCAAAATAACTCTCCCACCTATGTTGAATATATTTTTCTAAGAAAAACACTTTTTGATTTTCATCTTTAATACACTTGAGATAAATTTTTACTTTTATTTTCTCTTTGTTTGGCTAGTTTATATATATATTTTTCACCCTCCTTAGTGTTTAATCTATTATAAAGGTCATAAAAAGCAGAATTTTTAGCGTCACAAAATGTTATTTTAGACTCTCTACAGGCTATTTGATATATTTCTCAGTTCTCTAAGCTTTTACATTTAAACCAATTTTTATAACATGACTTCTTATATTTTATCTTTTCTTGCACATTATTATTCCACCATCAACTATTCTTATTTGTAAAAACTTTTTTCTTTTGATTCTCCAAGTATATCTTTTGTCATTTATTTAATAGTATTTGTTAATTTATTCCACATAGCATTTGCTTCTTCATGAACATCCCAAAATTTGAAATCTATGAATTATACTCATAAAAATAATTTTATTTATGTCTTTTAGAAACCCCCATCTAATTCTACGATGTTGAATTATAATATTCTTTGTTTTACAACTCTTAATCTTAAAATCTAGAACTAATAATCGATGTTAGGTACTTAAATCCTCACTTAGAATGACCTCACAATCTTTACAATCTCGACGATCTCTTCTTCTCATAAGAAAATAATCAGTTTGTGTTTTAGTAGATTCATTCTTATAAGTAATAAGATGTCATCTATTTTCTTGAATAAAATATTAGTAATAACAAAGTCATACGCTAAAACAAAATATAATATGGCTCTACCTTTTTCATTAATCACCCCAAAACCGTATCCACCATGAATATTTTTAAAATCTTCTACCACTCTACCGATATGTCCATTTAAATCTCTAAATTACAAAATTATATAATTTAAAAAAATTATAAAATAAAACAAAAACAAAGAAATGTTTCAACACAAAAAATAAAATAACAAACTAAAACTCTAAACAATTGTAATAATTGGTCTGAGAAATATGTGGAATTAAATTCCCTTCTCATCTCTAAAATTTGATGCATCTTATTTTGAAGACTAGAGTCCGTCTAATAGTGAGCATAAGGTAGCACATTGAACCAAATTGCTTTATCATTCATGATAAATATAGAGAATTATGCATCATTCATTTTTCTCCGAGTGTTCCAAAGAGTCAAGAGCATGAATATATCCAAGATGTCTTTCGCAACATCTTGGATATGAAAATTACTACAAGAAGAAACTGAAAATTCTAGAGATAAGTGAATATATCCAAGATGTCTTTGGCAACATCTTGGATATGAAAATTACTACAAGAAGAAACTGAAAATTCTAGAGATAAGTGAGCAGTAGAAACTCCAAAGAGAGAAAGAAGCCTTCTACAAATGTGCAAAGTTATAGTAGAAACTTTTCCCAAAAAAGACCATCCAACTCCAATAATAAGATGTAAGAAAACTGTCATGCATGCATTAGGAAAGAAAGAGTTGACTGAAAATATATATTAGAAGAGAACCTCCACTTCAAAGAGTCAAAGTTTGAGATCAAACTTATGCCAACTTAAAGAACATAAAAAATTGGGATTCCACTAGATAATTAATATTTCAAGCAAAAGAGAAGAGATGAGGATAAAGCTTGGCTAAGGAAATTGAGAATTTAAACAGCATTTCAAACTTGACACTAACCATTTTGAATGCTACAAGAGATCTTACGGGAAAATGAAAAGAAACTTTTTAACACCTTTAATAAATTGAGAAAAATGAGCAAAATTTCCCATCCAAAACTCAAGAGATAAAGGGTTGCTTGAATACTAATTCATGATATCACTAGCTAAGGATTTTTAGCCCACATGAATATGAGTTGAACCATAAATTTCTTTTAAGTGTATAGTACTGAGTTGTTACTGATGGATTTGATTAGCACGCTTACTAGATCTATACAATTCTAGCTTAACTATGAATAAATAATCAGTTGATTATTTTTTAAGGCATTTACTTCAATACTAGAGACAATTCATTTAACAAGTCTAAACCAACTGCATGATCAGTAAGATTTTTTTCTCATATTAGCATTTTTTTTAATGGGTGAGCCAGCACAAAAAGAGAAAATTTTAGAGCACTCAAGAAACCATTTTAATTTCAGATTGAATAAAAGATAAAATTCAATACTCTGCATCACTTAAATCCTTGATGTCAATGAATCCACCACCTGGCTCATCACTTGCTTTCTTTAATGTATCGCCCACCATGATTATTTTAGATCTTTCCGCATTTCCCTTCATAATATTGAGTGGGAAAATCAAATAAATCATACGTGGAAATAAACCTTAGACGGCAAAATTAATTTAAAAAAAAACCGAATAAAAGAAGACTGAATTTATGTAGAATGCTTACTACCCTAAACAGAGTATCTTTAATAATTGCTCTGACAAGAACTTACAAAATATATCCAAGCTAGAAAGCTAAATCTTTAAGGAACTTGTCAAAAGAAACCAATACATTCATCAAGTTATCTAGCATAACAAAATTCACAAAAGGATAAATGATCATGGTACTTAGTTTAAAATATTTGCATATGCAAATACAAAATAATTATTACAATTGTAGGTTTGGTTGCCACAGAGGATACATGTAACCAATTGTTATATCTATAGCACAAATGGGGAACAAAATTGTCAGACAAAAAGCAGGAAAAATAAGAATAGATTTGGTAATAAGTCAACAAAAAAATATTGCTTGGCAATATCCTCTTCTTTTCACCCTTCTAGTAATCTCTGCTTATAAAACAACTAAATCATTCTGAACAAAAATCGCCAAATACTATTTTGGCACAACTCATGGCCTTAAAAAGCGTATTTGGACCATTGGATGAAGTGGTGGAACCAAGGAGATTGGGGATGGCTCTTGCCACTCCATTTATTAGAAAAGCCCTATGCAACAAAATATCATATAAAACTTGTATTGTTAAACTCTTTTACAAATATTTATATTGTAGAAGCTTTGCCCCTCCAAAATTTGATGCAAGCACTTTCACCCCTTCTCACTCGAAAGGACAACAAAAAAGTTAAGAGGAAATCATTTTGAGAGCAGGGTTAAGCTTCTAAAAATGATCAAAATTTAGATTTTGTCCAAATGCCTCTCTTATAAACAGCGACAAAATAGGATCTTAAGAGAGAGACGAAATATAATACATAATTACAAGGGATTTTTCAATTTCAGAGGAGCGAGAACCACCATCAGCCTATATATTCATTGTTTCAAGTCAATGGCACTGTTTTCGAATCACAGGGACCTTTGCATTAAAAAACAGTTGAGAAAATATCAATGAGATTTTTTTGAATCTCAGTGAAATGTGTACCAACATCAGATTCATTACTATCTCATCCCAAAAAATTGAGAGAAGCATTGCAATGTCATTAAAATAAAAAAAAAATAATACGGCAGATTGAACAATTAAAGCAGCAGAAAAAAAAACAAGAGCTTTGCTTGCAAATGTAGAAAGTCGGAAATGTGTTGCAGTACCCCTTTCCTGAGAGAGTGGACAAAGATTTTGCCGTCAAGTGATAGCGCAAAACGAATCCCGAGCGGCTTCTCAAGCGTCACCATGTACTCGTTTAGATTCATCTTGTAGACTGCTGAATTAGATGTCGACATCACCACGATCGAGTGTGCCCGCCTCCTCATCCTCCGATCATTCCTCCAAACCATCAGAGCACTCAAATTGCAGGGAACGCTCTCGGGTTTACCTCTCCTCCATGGCAGGGAAGTAGAAGAGATTGGCGAAGAGACGAAGGAGGAGAACTGAGGAAACAGTTGCAGCACCATGGCTTCAGATCTTGTCCCCAGTGGGACACTTCTCTAGATGTAGAGTGAGACCTCGACTATCCATTTTCCCCTCGTGCTTGTTTCGCCTTTTTTTATTCTGAAGCAAAAAACATTATTATTATTTATGAACAAAAAAAAATTAACTAATTAAATGTAAAACTCATAAGAAATTTTTTCGCGAGTAAATCTTTTCTAGCATAATATTTACAAAAAAAAAAACTATCTTCTAGGTCGTAATGGAATAACGTCTAATCTCGATGTATATCGCAACTGATATTCTTGAAATTACACTTCAGTATTATCACTTTTAATTATGTCATTTGTTGCATCTCGTGGCATCCAATAAATTTCTTTGTTGAAATTTGGTGGAGAACAAAATTGTGTTGTGCCAAAATTCATGTCTACTCAAAAATAGATGCACACATTGGATGTTCTGAAAATATAAATCCAAGTCTCAACCTGTAGTGGTTGTCCACTGCAAGTCAACTGATTAAACCTCATATACTAACGGTACTGCATAGTCGAAGGGTCCTGCAAAGCTATATAATTATGCATAACTGGAGGTTCCTACATAGCCGGAGGGTTCTTTAAATATTGATTGGACAGAATAAACAGATGTCTCTGGATATTATTGCTCGTGATTCTTGAAACGAAAATATTTGTGTTTTACTAACTAAAGATCTCTTTAGAGCATCTGTTGTTGATCGTCTTGCAGCAATGGAAGAGAACCAATGTGGAGCAAATGTGGTGGATCGATGAGGTTTGGCATTCTAACATCTGTTCTATGAGACGGTTCTACTTCAAAATCATGTCGACATGGCCGATCAAATGTAGTGTAATCAATGTATATTGATTCTTCCACTCTGCACGATAGCTTCAAAATCTCATCATAACTTTGTTTCATGAAACTAACACTTGCGCCACGATCCCCTCCAAAGCTTTTGGCGATGTTCTTTCTACGAACGAAGTAATATAGTTGTATAATTATTAAGCTTATATTATTATTATATATTATAATAATAATAATTCGTAGTTCTTGTAAAGGAATGCAAATACTTCCCACTATTCTCTCTCCTAGTGATTGTGTGTACTAGGTATCAAGAGGCTGAGTAGGAGGCTTCACTAAGTAGAGTGATGCCCAAAAGTGATACCACTGCAAATAATGATATAATTCTTCTTCTACATCACCTTGTAGTGGGTTTATTGGTACAATAATTGTCCGATAATTATTTCATATCTCGATATATTTACTGTGATATTGCTCCTAGTCATTTCTTATTTTACCTTGACCATCGACTCTATGAAAACCTTATTTGATGGGTTCAATGGTTATAGACTGGATGCTTGAAAACTGATGTATAACACGGTCTGGAATGTGTCACTCGACATGCATATAGTTTATTAGAGGAGCGCTAGCCGTCTAAATGTCTATGCTTGTTGATCTCACATTTGTTTGAGGTTTAGCCTTTCTCTTTTAGAAGCTTAGGATCTAGCCATAGGACTTTTCTGTTGACAATCCTAGAGGACTAGTGATGGAACCCTATCCCATTAGAAATTCTAAACACCTCTTTACCCTTCTTGGAGTTCCATGAGTTTCATGTGTTTGGTTTTGACCTCTAGCACTTAGTAGGATGAACCAACATGGGGGAGCTCAAGAGGAGTCCCCATAGGACTGTCTGACGTTAGGTTTAGCCCTGGGTGGTGAGGCCTTAGTTAGTCTTGCACACACACACTTGACCTCCTTACCTTCACTTACAACCTAAACCCTAAACCAACCATCTTGACTTGGTTCCTCATACACCTAAAATATATAGTCTTTTAGTACACATTTTTATACCTATTTTTGAGATATTGTGCTTTAATGAAAGGTATTTGTGTATTTTTCTTTTAGGTATAATCAAATGAATGAAAAATAGTAAAAGGAGTGAAAAATGATCAATTTTGGAGCAAAAATGAATGAGGTACAAAAAATGAACTAAGGCACCCAAGTGCCCAAGACTGGCGCTTACGCGTCAATTATATAGAGAGAGACACGCCTAAGCGCTAGGTATCCCACGTTTAAGCGCCAGAAATAGTTATTTGATGATTCATTAGATTTGGATGAATTTGTGAAGAGGTGTTTGAAGCTACCCTTAGTAAAAATGTGAGAAATAGTTCATGAACACAAAAATTCATGCAATTGGCTTTTGAAAGGAGGCAACTTCCAGAAGATTTATTGAATGTAGACACATTTTGAAGCGACACCAAGGCACCCCTTGGATTTTTATTAAAGAAGACTTGGATAATCAAATGAAGAGGCCAGCCAACAGCAAATCATCCATCCATTCAAACTCCAATTTTAACCTTTTGCCCCAAAACTTTTCCAAAATTACCAAAATTCCCCTAAAACCCTAATTTCCCAAAATTGCCCAAATTATCAATGTCTCTCCAAAAATCATTTCATACTATTTCAAACCACTCAAATTGCCCAAACCCAAAATTCCCAAAATACCCCCAACATTACCAAAATTACCAAAATACCCCTCATGCCCCAAAAAACTCTCCAAATTTTCCAAATTCACTCTAAATGTCACCAAACTCAATCCTAACCACTCATTGACCCCAACTGCTCCAAAATCCACTAAATTTAGCTAAAATCCCCAAATTGCCCCTGAATGCCTAAAGTCTCCAAATCACCCCCAATTTCCACAAAATTCATTTCAATCTCTCCCAATTTCAATTTTAAACTCAATTTAAACTTGTTCAATCCCAATCTATACCAATTTGAAGCCCAATTGAACCATTCTACAAACCTTAATTTCAATTTTGAGCCAAAATCCCAAAATTGACCTTACCTTAAACTTCCACCAAATTGATTCCCTAACCTATTCAATTTCCCCAATTTTGAATCCTAAACTCTTCATAACACCCCCCCTAGACCAATTTGAACCCTCAATTGATCTAGATACAAACTCAAACATAGCTTAAATCCAACCTAAGCCAAAATCACAAATTTTTACCCAAAATCCAAAATCCAAAATCCCTCAAATTGAATTTCATGACTCTGTAATTTTAACCCAATTATACCCAAATGCCTTATAACAAAGTTCTACACCAAATTGAACCTTCAATTGACCCAAAACCAAACCCTAGCCAAACCCAAACCTAACTCCAAGCCAAATCCCATGTTTTGAACCCAAACCCCAAATTCACCTTGAGCCACTTGGTCCAGCCCAACCTTGGTCACCACAATTGCCATTTTGAGTCTAAGACCCAACCAAGATCCACCTAGCCTACCCTAGTTGATCCATGGTCCAAGGGTCCCTCAAATTTGGGGATTTCTTCCCAAAAGTGGCTAAACCAAAGGGATCCTTGCCATCAGCCTTCTCAAGCCCCAAGCACATCACCATTAAGCTTCTCTGGCCTCCATGACCCAGCTACCCAACACCTCAGCTCTGGCTAGCCACCTTAGTCACTAGAGAGCACAAAATTGAGAAGGCTGATACACCTAAAATATATAGTATTTTTATACACATTTATACCTATTTTTGAGATTTTGCACTTTTAATGAAAGGCATTTGTGTGTTTTTCTTTCAGGTATGATCAAATAGATGAAAAATACTAAATGGAGTGAAAAAACGTCAAATTTGGAGCAAAAATGATGAAGGTGCAAAAATGAACCGGGGCGCCTAAGCACCCAAGACTGGCACCTAAGCACCCGTTATTCAAAGGGAGTCACACCTAAGTGCCAAGTACCCCGTGCTTATGTCAGAAGTAGTTATTTGATGATTTATTAATTTGAATAAATTTTTGAAGAGGTGTTTGAAGCAACCCTTGGTAAAAATGTGAAAAATAGTCAATGGACACAAAAATTCATTCAGGAGGCTTTTGAAAGGAGGAACTTCTAGAAGATTCATTGAATGAAGATACATTTTGAAGAGACACTAAGGCACAATTTGAATTTTCATAAAAAAAACTTAGATCACCAAAGAAGCGGGGTCAACCATTAGACATCCCCAACCACCATTTATCTTAGTAACCACCGTCGCCTACTTTCTTTTTATTTTGAGTGTTAGTTTGTATTGTGAGTGAAGGAAGAGATTTAAAAGGAACTTTAAGACATTTGGTGGAGAGGATTTGAAGAGGATGACATTTGGTGGAGAGGATTTGAGATAAGAGTCTATCTTTGTGACTACATTTGGTTTTAATTTAGATTTCTTATTAGTGTGCTTGATTTCTACTTTTAAACTTGAACTAAAGTGTGGTTATGTTTCCTCCATGAATTCGGAGTAGTTTTCTTTATCTTTTTCCTTAAAATGATAAGTGACTAAGTATTGAAATGAATTTGTGTAAAGTATTATATTTCAATGTTGGAAGAAGTTGTGATGATTTGAAACCTTGTAATTCATTTACTTCTTGATTTGGCCAATTAAGATGTTAATACCTATTGTGAGAACATATAATATCCGAGATGACATTATCTCAGCCAACAAATGTTTAGAATCACATATTGATTTCATGTATGAGAATGTAGTTCATGGGGTTGTGTGCAAATAAATAGGAAATAAAATTTTCAAGGGTGTAGAATTAGAGGACTTTAGAGTGATAGATTAAAGCCCCCCAATTTGATTTATAGTTTTAGGTTTTGATACAAGATGTTAGCCCACGGGTGGAGGGAGAAGAGAGAACTCTAGTGTGAGAGCTAGTATCTTCCCTACCTAACCGATCTTCAAGTATTTAAACTATAAATTAGCCAATATTCTTTATAGGATCTTGAGTACATCTCTAGTAAGAGTAAAGAATAATATTGCTCCAATTTGGCACAACACATTTAGCATACTTCTACAGCTGAATTTCAATACTTATTACTAATTCATGCTAAGAAAAAATATATTTCACTTATATTACCTTCATCTTGCAAATATTTAGTTAAGTTAATTAGTTGTTTATTTTAATTTCATAAATCATAAATTACAAAAAGTCAAATTTTCATTCTTATTATAATACCTTAAGTTTAAATAAGAATATTTTGCTAAGTAAATTTTTGTTATCTAAACTTTCTAGCTTTATAAAGTGCATATTGC